ACGGGTAATACTACAGTATCTACCTTCAGTCGGATGTAGAGGGCTGAGTATCCTGCTCCGGTGAGCCTGATGCTCCTGAAGATCTCCTCTGGTGTCAGCGTCTTTACTTCGAGCGGCTGGAGCCTCTTGCTCCTGTCGGACTTGAAGACGTCAAAAGGTTTGTTGTGTCCTGCCAGCTGAGGGAAGGTGGACCTCAGCAGGTCCAGGAAGTCCGCCTCCTGTAGGTCACGAGGACACTGCAGCTCCTGAACAGGACATTTCTGAAACACTGAAGCAGAGAAAAATAATTGTGAAATTAAGTTTATCTTTCCAACAGTTACCTCTCTGCAGATAAGTTGTTAATTCAGTCACTAATTAACACATATTTAATATTCACCGTTTTGTGAAAGAACATCTGACTGCGAATCCTCCAGTACGCAGACTCTGAGCAGGTGGTGATTGGTTCCTCCGTGAAGGCTTGGTCTGCCAGGCTTCCTCCTCACAGACGAATCTCCGGGAGACCATAACCTGAAAGATGGTCACAATTTCTGATTCTCCTACAGCCATCTATGAATGTTATTATTAAGATAAATATTCAAATGTGATGTGACAATGAAGGTGACTGAAAACTAACTCAGGCCCACTGTGTTTAATGAAGTCAAGGTTTGGGAAAATTTAAAAAGTCTTTCAGTGTGAAAACAGTTCCCCATCTGATTTTGAGAAAATCATGCAGACAAATCATCCATCCAGCAAGAACGGATCATTGTGCACCCACCTGTGGGCAGATATGTGTTCTCTTTAGTTTTTAGTTACCTGGGGTGTATTTGGGTTTGATCAGCTGACGTGGAGGCAGAGCTGGAAGGAGAATCATCTCGCCTCTCTACAGGATGAAGGTCTTCACTGCTGCTCTGAGGATCCTCTCCGGTCTGTAACAGGGTGGTTCCCAAAAAAAACATAAAGCACTTCTTTTATGGAAACAGCAGAAACTATAATAATCGGCGTCAGCCGATACCTGCACTCACAAGGCTGACATAAAAAACATAATTCTGCAGCAGCCTCCTCATTAGCTTAAAATGACAGTTAGCATCCCTAATTTACGTTACTAGCCTCAGCTCCTCCATGGTAACCACCAACCTTTCTTTAACAACCAGCTTTCAGACTCATCTTAAAACTCAAATATAATTTAATTTAACTTAGTTTCAGGATGTAACCTACAGTACAGGACAGAGTTGTACGTAGCAGTGGACTTAATTCTGCTCCTAAAGATTTGGTCTGGACAAAACCTGGACTCGTGTTGACCAAGCAACAGAATTCAGAGACTGTTGTGCCCACATCATTACAGAGACCTGCCCCATCAACATCCCCGATCAGGCACTCGGCAGGAGGTCCATGTTCCGAGCTGTCAGCGCAAGACTCCAGCAAGATGAGAGGAGGTGGACTCTGTAGTTGGTGCTCAAACGCAGTAAAGATGGACTCTGTTTCCTAAATGTCAGACTGTTTATTGTGAAGATGAAACCATATTATCATCTGGTACCCCAGATGCAAATTCAAAAAATGCACCGTGGAATGTTGTTGGTGTATATGTGTGTGTTACGGTGACCTAAAAATGCATCCGGCTGGGATTTCTAATTCGCCCAAAATGTCCGGGATTCGGCTTTTACTTTCTACACTTGGTGATCAATGTGTGGCTTTTTTTGCATTGCTTTGACCTTTCTCTTTAGGTCCCGCCTTCTCGCACGCCACCACTGGTCAAAACTATATCTCAATCATTACCTTCAGCACCACAGCGACAGCGGAAAGACAGCATCAGCTTTCTTGCAAACAGTGGCACATGGTGCCAGGTGGATAGTGCCTCCACAGTAGCCTACACATTGCCATGGTGCCACAAATTACTAACCATTACTCCCAGCCCCAAACTTCCACCAGCAGCAGGTGTCCGTCTGCCTCCTGCCTCCACTCTTTTTGAAAACCGAAATATGGTCACCCTAGTGTATGTTCACTGAACAAAATTATAAACGCAACACTTTTATTTTGCCCCCATTCATCATGAGCTGAACTCAAAGATCTAAGACTTTCTCTTTGTACACAAAAGGCCTATTTCTCTCAAATAGTTTTCACAAATCTTTCAAAATCTGTCAGTGAGCACTTCTCCTTTGTGGCACATCAACATGCTGATCAGATGCTGAAGGATATTGCACAGGTGTACCTTAGGCTGGCCACAATAAAAGGCCACTCGAAAATGTGCAGTTTCACTGTATTTGGGGGGTCCGGAAACCAGTCAATACCTGGTGTGACCAACATTTGCAACACATCTCCTTCGCATAGAGTTGATCTGGTTGTTGATTGTGGCCTGGGAATGTTGGTCCACTCCTCTTAACTGGCTGTGTGAAGTTGCAGTCAGGCTGAGGACGACGAGCATGCAGATGAGCTTCCCTGAGACGGTTTCTGACAGTTTGTGCAGAAATTCTTTCGTTATGCAAACCATAGACCAGCTGTCCGGGTGGCTGATCTCAGACGATCTTGGAGGTGAAGATGCTGGATGTGGAGGTCCTGGGCTGGTGTGGTTACGTGAGGTCTGCGGTTGTGAGGCTGGCTGGATGTACCGCCAAATTCTCTGAAACACCTTTGGAGACGGCTAATGGTACAATAAATTCACGGGCAACAGCTCTGGTGGACATTCCTGCAGTCAACATGCCAATTGCACGCTCCCTCAAAACATGCAACATCTGTGGCATTGTGCTGTGTGATGGCACTGCACATTTTGGAGTGGCCTTTTATTGTGGCCAGCTTAAGGCACACCTGTGCAATACCCATGCTCTCTTATCAGCATCTTGATATGCCACCTGTGAGGTGGAATGATTATCTCTGCAAAGGAGAAATGCTCACTGACACAGATTTTGACACGTTAGTGAACAATATTGAGAGAAATAGGCCTTTTGTGTACATAGAGAAAGTCTTAGATCTTTGAGTTCAGCTCATGATGAATAAGGGCAAAAAAACTGTTCTCTACTGCTGTACATTTATTTATGTTGACTGTATGTTTGTCTACATGTAACAACTTATCACCACAGCAAATTCCTCGTATGTGTAAAACACTACTTGGCAATAAAGCTCCTTCTGATCCTTCTTCTGATGTTTGTTACTGCTATATGGCTACTTATAAATGTTCTAAAATGCACCTACACTGATGATGGAGCAAATACACTATTCTGTGTAAAGACACACAGGTGATGCTGTTTATAATTTAAAGTACCTTCAGTCGGATGTAGAGGGCTGAGTGTCCTGCTCCAGTGAGCCTGATGCCGCTGTAGATCTCTTCTGGTGTCAGCGTCTTTACTCTCAGAGGATGGAGCCTCCTGCTCTTGTCAGATGTGAAGAAGTCAAAATGTTTCTGAGCAGCCAGCTGAGGGAAGGTGGACCTCAGTAGGTCCAGGAAGTCCGCTTCCTGTAGGCCCAGAGGACACTGCAGCTCCTGCACCGGATATTTCTTAAACACTAAAACAGACAACCATTCATTGGGAGGTTAAGTTAAATTTATCTTTCCAACAGTTACCTCTCTGCAGATAAGTTGTTAATTCAGTCACTAATCAGTCAAAACATATCCTGTACCGGTTTTCGAGAGCACATCGGTCTGTGAGTCCTCCAGGATGCAGATCCTGAGATCCAGGTGCTTCTGTTTGTCAATGGCCCGAGGTCTACCGGGCCCTTTCCTGTCAGACTGGCCTCTGAGGAAAAATGACCTGGAGGGTGAAGATTGTTAAGAGGTTAGTGTTCACAGTTACACCCCTTCTGACTAGTTGATTATACATTACTTTTGTAGTAAAGATCTCTATTTTATTCACTTACTTTCTCCAACTACCTCCCTTCCTTGATCTTACTTCCTTTCCTGTCTTTGCTGGAAACTCCTTGAGTTGGTCTGTCTAGGCCTATCCTTTCCTCACAAGACTAGCTATCTTCCAGTTCTATCTTCCGACCACAGAAAGGTCAGCCTTTGGATCCTCCAGTTGTAAACTGGCCTCTTGTATCTTTTTCCAACGCAGTGTTGCCCTCTAAGCATTTCATTTGCACATTAAAATCCAAAAGAAACATATCCTTAATTGCTTTAAAGTAGTAGTTTACATCCCTTATTTACTTTACAAACCTCAGCTCCTTCTCAGTCACCACCATGCTTTCTTTAACAAACAGTTTATAGACTCTAAAAACTTTAGGTTATGAAATTAACCACGGTTCTCTAAGAACATGAGTGTGGTATCTCACTATGGGACATGCCACTTGCGCTGTCCCCCAGAAGCTATTTTCCTGCCTGGCAGACAGACTGTCTGCTCCAGAGAGGAGGGACTTCCTCCTACTATAAGAGCTTGACGTAACATTCTCTCCTCAGTCTTAGTAAGCATACCTCATCCTCGCTCCAGGCAAGGAGGGTGATCTGGTGAGATACCACACTCATGTTCTTAGAGAACTGGGGTTAACTACTCTTTCAACATTTCGGTATCTCACTATGGGATATGGAGACTCCCGTATTGCCAGCCAAGCTTACTCCGAGGACCGGCCATTAACAGCCAGCTAGATAGGCACCTCAGGAACAGAACCCTTCCGTTTTTAATTAATATTTAGATAATCGATTTTTGACATTAGTTAATCGATTCAGAATCTTCCAAGTCCGCATAGCGATGCATCTAAGAATCTATTTTTTCTCCCACCCCTAATAGTAGCGCTAACAAATTATTATTAACCGTCCATTGAGACGTTGAAACTCTTCAATTCTCACTAGTCAGTTTTCAGATCTCTTCTGTCGCATACCCTGAGAAGACTTTTATAATCATACATACAATACTGCAGGCCAATTAATGTATACATTTTTGAAGAGGGATAACAGATGGTTTCAAAGAGAAGTGAAGGAATCCATATACACCAGAGTGGAGAAACCATCTCTCAACAAGGGATGAGGGCAAAGACACCACTTATCCCCTCACCTACAATGCTGTCCATTCATCCCTTCCCAAGAGACTGAACACACTCTCATATTTAGCAATGCCAATGACGGCCGTCCAGACTTGACCTCAGGTGACTCAAACGACTATAATGACTGCTGTCACGACAGCCAGGAGCACTAACGTACCAATCGTTATCCATTACCTTGATAACAACCTCACAGAGGTTAAAACACCTGGAATTTCCTGCCAGTCAGTCAGAAGTAAAGAAGTATTTTGGATGAAGACAAAACATCTTCCAGTAAGTTCAACCAGTCCAGATTTTAACCCTCTTTAGATAACTACAGTATGACCTTGACTTGACATCAGGCTTGACTTAAACATTGCTTCCTAACTTTGTGAAAACAATTGCTGCGTTATCTCCCCTGGCAAAGTGTTTTCGGGTCTACCAGCACACTTCCGACACATCATGTAGTTGGCGCGTAATTAAACTTAACCGAAACCGATCCAGGTTTTTGAGTCAGTATATCCGAAATGAGTATTGCACACATTATATAAGGATTTAAAATATTTTGAAGGCAACTGACCCTTTACTAAGCCACGCCCCATATGCGCAACTGGCCAATTAGCGCACAATCCAGAAAATGTCTGCTGTGGATTGTTCCTAATGTAATGTTAGTTAGCTAACGCTTGCTAACTTACTACTGAATGTAACGTTATAAAGCCCAACTGTTCTGCTTTTTAAGGATTGTAATAGTGAACAGAGATCTACCCAGCTGTACAGGAACAGTGTTGATCCTTTATATCATGGTTGGTTCACTTTTACGTTGTGAGCAGAAGGCTTTAGCTTCTGTCTTTATTTTTTTCTCGTCAGCCTGAATAAAACCTTAAAATGCACAATACAACTGCAAAACTGTCTGCTTCTTTCTGAGATCGCTTTTCCCATAAATAAGGCAATATTTCTACAGGGAGTGCAGTAATAGGCAGTGGCAGCGTCGTGATAAAAGTCCGACAGGTCCGACACTTTGTCGGACTTAGCAACAGTAACGGTAACTAAGGGGGGCGTGGCTTAGCGAAGGGTCAATTATCTTTCAAATGTTTTTATACATATGACACATTTAAAATAAAAACTGACAGACTGAAAGTGAAATATTTTCACACTGCAGAATGTTCTGTTAAGTATTTTTTTATGTTACGGGATGTGTAAAGATTAAAATCTGATTTTTTTAAACTCAAATGTTGTTTTGGTTGGACTATAACACAGAGCACACAGAGGGACAGCAGAGAAGATTGAAAATGAGTCAATTGCTGGAATAAGTCGTGTAAAGCCAAGAAAAAATTACCTAATTACCTTGGGCTGAGCCCGGCTTCATCGCTTTTTATCACCACGGCGGGAGTGGACGGAATATCGGTGGTGGTACCGTGGTTTCTCTTTAAAAGGTGGAGTTCTGCCTCTTCCTCCTCCTCAGCCTCTACCGCCTGGTGAGACAAATCTCTGGGAGACGATAACCTGAGACAGAAGACACAATGTCTGACTAGCCTGCAGTCACTCATGAACGTAATTATTAGGATAAATATTTAAATGTGATGGGAAAATGTGAGATTAAAACTAAGTTAACTATGGGCCCACTGTGTTTTATAAAGTCAAGAGTCCAGTAAACTGAGCACATCCAGTGCTGTGCAAAGATTCCAGTTTTCTGTTACCTGGGGTTCATTTGGCTTTGACCAGCTGACGTGATGGCAGGGCTGGATGGAGAATCATCACTTCTCTGTACAGAAACAGAAAGACGCTCAGAACAAATATCTGCATCATGCTGCTGTTATTAAAATGCCACAACAGACAGAAGCCTTTGATTTCATCAATAGTTGGCTTCAATTTTCTACCGATAAGAGCTTTTTTTATTTATTTGATTTTTAAAAAGCCCATATGGCTACTTATAAATGTGAGGACCATCCTGAAATGCACCTACACTGATGATGGAGTGAGGACACTGATTTGTGTAGAGACATACAAGCTGTTTTTAATTCAAAGTACCTCCAGTCGGATGTAGAGGGCTGAGTGTCCTGCTCCGGTGAGCCTGATGCCCTTGTAGATCTCCACTGGTGTCAGCGTCTTTACTCTCAGAGGAAGGAGCCTCCTGCTCCTGTCGGATGTGAAGAAGTCAAACTGTTTCTGAGCAGCCAGCTGAGGGAAGGTGGACCTCAGCAGGTCCAGGAAGTCTACCTCCTGCAAGCTACTAGGACACTGCAGCTCCTGAACCGGACATTTCTGAAACACTGACACACACAAAGATTCACTATGAGGTACGCGAATCAGCAGAGGCCCCACGAAACGATGTTATCATGATACTTATGTCACAATATGATATTATCACGATACTTATGTCACTAAATGATATTAGAATAGAATAGATAAACTTTATTAATACCCAATGGGGAAACTCAATTGCCACCAGCTTACATCACACAACATATAGTATAAACAGAAAGCACAATCATGTAATGTTATCACGGTACTTATGTCACTAAACGATATTATCACAGTACTTGTGTCACAATACTATATTATTAAGATACTTTTGTCACTAAACGATATTATCACAATACTTATGTCACTAAACGATATTATCACAATACTTATGTCACTAAATGATATTATCACGATAATTATGTCACTAAACGATATTATCACGATACTTATGTCACTAAACGATATTATCACGATACTTATGTCACTAAACGATATTATCACGATAATTATGTCACTAAACGATATTATCACGATACTTATGTCACTAAACGATATTATCACGATAATTATGTCACTAAACGATATTATCACGATACTTATGTCACTAAACGATATTATCACAATACTTATGTCACTAAACGATATTATCACAATACTTATTTCACTAAAAGATATTATCACAATACTTGCGTCAATAAACGATATTATCACAATACTTATGTCACTAAACGATATTATCACAATACTTATGTCACTAAACGATATTATCACAATACTTATGTCACTAAACGACATTATCACAATACTTGCGTCAATAAATGATATCACAATACTCATGTCATTAAACGATGCTATCACGATACAAATTTTATAATATAATAATATCACAATATAATATTAGTGGGATTTTAAACATTTCTGCGATGCAATTTATTAGCTTATTTTCCAACTTCACATAATGTCCACAAAAAGAAAACTTTTTTCTGTTTATTCATCTTACTTTCAGTGAAGCTGATTTAGAATTAGCTTTACCGTCCGCAGCTAACACTATCTCTGGACGGTGGCGTGTGAAATGAGCCCTCTTATTCGTGGTATCCTGGAGTATTTTGTTTTCATACGATAATCCCTGCAAATCCCATGTGTTATATCCATCTGAAGTTCATACATTTGATTTAAACAGACATTTAACTTCCTCCTGCACGCTGACGGTCACCAGAAAAAAAACTCAGCAGCACCGTCTAGTGGACTGAAAAAGCAATTGATTTTGTTATTCTGGTGCCAAAAAGTTACATTCTCATGTGCAATTTATATAATTACAGATCGGTGTATCAATACGTTATTGCAAAAGAAAATATTGCAATACTCTGCTGTACCAACACCCCCTAATCTTTCCAACAAAAGCCTTCATACAGATTGAGTCACTAATCAATCAGTACTGGATAGGTCTTTGAAATGTACCGCTTTTTGAGAGCACGGCCTGCGAGTCCTCCAGGATGCAGATCCTGAGGGTTAGGAGTCTCCGAGGTCTGCTGGCCCTTTTCCTGTCAGACCAGGCTGTGGGGGAAATGGACCTAGAGGATGAAGATTGTTAGCAGGTTATTAACAAAATAAGACAGCTTAGTGTTTATTGCAGTTATATCACTTCTGACTGGTTGATTATCACTTTAGTGAACATACTGTACTTGAAAAGTTTGTGGACACTGGAGCATCATTACACCCATGTGTGGTTCATCAATCTGCTGCTCCTACAGTCTCCACACTGCTGGTTTCAAGCTTTTACCAGATGTTGAACCAGCTGCAGGGATTTGTTCTCATTCAGACACCAGAGGTTTCAGTGAGGTCCAGCACTGCCAGATCGGGCTCACAGTCCAGTTCATGTCAAAGCTGGATGAGGTTGAGGTCAGAACTTTGTACAGGCCAGTCAAGTTCTTCAACACCCAACTGGGGAAACCCATTTTTTTATGAAGCAGCTTTGTGTTGTGGGCAAAAATACTGTTGCCACAAAGTCCCAAAATATCACTGTATGGTGTCGAATTTAAATATAATTAATTAGTGAACGCCACAATAGATACTGTAATAACAACAACCTAACAACGTGTTACTATCACCAGCACCTTGCTGCTCAACGCACCTTGCAACAGCTAAACAATCATCCTGAGCAACCATACTAAGCTAATAAGCATCCTAGCACTGGAACTAACAATTATTTTCTTTATAATCTATCATTTTCTTGTGGAGCGGACAAACCTGGACTCCTTAATTTACTGTTCTTGGCTACTGTAAAAAATTCTCCACGTAGAGCTGCACCTCCAGTCACCAGTCCGTCAAGCTCCTGCAGCTTGCAGACGACAACTCTCACTGGGCTCATCTCTGGTATCATACTGGTGGGAGACTGTCCCGCAAAGTCCACTGACCGACTGACACTGACGCTCATTTAGATTATCAAAAATAGTTGGCTAGAAGCTCTAGTCTCTGGTGGTTGTGGGATTTGTGACCTTGATTTGGTTTGATATTCAGGGTCCTTCAGATGGTCTCGTGTGGGGCTGGTTGCTGGTTGCTGCTGCTCTCCATCATCATTGTACCACATGAGGGCCAGGCTCCCAGTGTCCCCCACACCTGGACCAAAGATTGGAAAATTAAAAATGCCCATTACTTCCCAAACTCCACAATTACCAGCAAACGGTCACTTCTAATTTATGCTGTACAATCTAAAGGAATTGACGATGAAAAGCTGTCTGTGAGTTTTAGTCGAAGGACGTGTCCGTGGCATGCTGTCAAAGTTCGATGGTTCGCCATGAAACAGGATGTTGTTTTAACTTCACTGTACACGCTCAGATCTGGACAAAATTTGACGATTTGGTAACACACCAAATCACGACAATGTTCACTCAATGTGATAGAGCCACCACATGCCAGAGGAACATTTTGTACCTTTTAAATTACTTATTTGACAGATTTACTTTACAAATTAGGATTATTTTTTTTACACACAAAACGTTAAGAAGAGAACTTTACAGTTTCACCCATTTATTGAAGTGATTCGTTCCTAATAATTGATTTGTTTTCCTAATTTTATAACACGTTTAATAGAAAGTGTGTAGACCCACCTGACTGCTTTGTGTGCCCCTCCTCCTCCCTCACAACAGCTTCGTGGCCTTCTGGATCTGGGTCTGAGATTTGGGCTTCTGTTTTCAATCAAAAGTAAAAGAAACTCAGATAAATATATCAAAAAGTTCCATAAAAATGCTGCAATGATCAGCCGAAGGCCACTTGTGTTTTCATAGCAGCTTCATCATCGTACAGAACAAGGCGAAGCTCAAACACGATAATAACAAGATAATCACATGTAATTAATGTCCCGCAAGTTAACGTTATGTCCCATTATAAGCAGATTTAAACGGCAGGGCCCATGAACCAACGTCACACTTGACATTTACAACATTAAGTAACACTTTTTATATGCCGATTTGTAAGTCACATCATGAAAATATGTGTAAGTTTTCACTTTATGTCCTCATGAGTCTGCAGGTTTGTCCGCGAGCACAGAAACTTTAAATTAGCGTTTTTTTAAATGAAGTTCCACAACTTGAAAAAACAAAGCCTGTTATTTCTTCCTGCAATAATTGAGCCACTGACCTCTTCTCTCTAGTTTGACCCGAGGCTGCAGCACCGCCTCCAGCTGCCTCCTCTGCCGGTCGATCTCCTGCCTCAGACCCGAAGCCTCCTCCTCGTACCCGGCTACGGTTCTCTCCACAACCGCGAAGATTTCCTGCGCGGCTGTTGTCAGTTTCTCTGCGACAATTCCTCTCAGGATCTCCGTCTTGGACATGTTATTGAGGCTGTCGAGGGTCCCCGAGCCGCCGCTGTTCCCGTTCATCCAGTAAAGCATCTTTATTTTCCTCTCGCAGCTGTGTTTTGTTTATGCACAACTTTGTTCGTTTGAACGGGGTTGTTCCGGGTTTTGGTGCAGCTACAAATTGTGTCCGATGAGACACAAAAACAAAGCGGTCTGTTTGGAAGGTCAAATCAATAACTGATTTGATTTTCTTCTCTTCACTCACTCGTAGCATTTTGTTACCTGGTGAATATAATCTATTAACATGTCCATTTTTAAAATCATTCTTACTTACTAGCATTTACATATATATATATATATATACACATATATATATATATATATACACATACACACACACACCTAAAGGATTATTAGGAACACCTGTTCAATTTCTCATTAATGCAATTATCTAATCAACCAATCACATGGCAGTTGCTTCAATGCATTTAGGGGTGTGGTCCTGGTCAAGACAATCTCCTGAACTCCAAACTGAATGTCAGAATGGGAAAGAAAGGTGATTTAAGCAATTTTGAGCGTGGCATGGTTGTTGGTGCCAGACGGGCCGGTCTGAGTATTTCACAATCTGCTCACTTCCAGTATGCGGCAGTCCTGTGGGCGAAAACGCCTTGTTGATGCTAGAGGTCAGAGGACAATGGGCCGACTGATTCAAGCTGATAGAAGAGCAACTTTGACTGAAATAACCACTCGTTACAACCGAGGTATGCAGCAAAGCATTTGTGAAGCCACAACACGCACAACCTTGAGGCGGATGGGCTACAACAGCAGAAGACCCCAGCGAGTACCACTCATCTCCACTACAATAGGAAAAAGAGGCTACAATTTGCAAGAGCTCACCAAAATTGGACAGTTGAAGACTGGAAAAATGTTGCCTGGTCTGATGAGTCTCGATTTCTGTTGAGACATTCAGATGGTAGAGTCAGAATTTGGCGTAAACAGTATGAGAACATGGATCCATCATGCCTTGTTACCACTGTGCAGGCTGGTGGTGGTGGTGTAATGGTGTGGGGGATGTTTTCTTGGCACACTTTAGGCCCCTTAGTGCCAATTGGGCATCGTTTAAATGCCACGGCCTACCTGAGGATTGTTTCTGACCATGTCCATCCCTTTATGGCCACCATGTACCCATCCTCTGATGGCTACTTCCAGCAGGATAATGCACCATGTCACAAAGCTCCAATCATTTCAAATTGGTTTCTTGAACATGACAATGAGTTCACTGTACTAAAATGGCCCCCACAGTCACCAGATCTCAACCCAATAGAGCATCTTTGGGATGTGGTGGAACGGGAGCTTCGTGCCCTGGATGTGCATCCCACAAATCTCCATCAACTGCAAGATGCTATCCATCAATATGGGCCAACATTTCTAAAGAATGCTTTCAGCACCTTGTTGAATCAATGCCATGTAGAATTAAGGCAGTTCTGAAGGCGAAAGGGGGTCAAACACAGTATTAGTATGGTGTTCCTAATAATCCTTTAGGTGAGTGTATATATATATTAAATTGTACATTAAATATTTTTTGCTTCCTCCAGTCTACTGGCGCACAGCTGACGCATGTGTTGTACGCATCAAGTTAAGAGATCAGCCTGCTGTCACGATACCTGATCCAGCTATTTGGGTCAGAATCTGACCAATAGCTGATAAAAATATCGGATTGCAACCCTAATGCTGTCCAGTGAAGAATGCACAGACCTGTATTTTGGGGAAACAAAACCACCTCTACACAAACAACACAGAACACAGCAACAAGGAACACTAACGAACCAGCGGTATCGATGACCCGAGATAACGACCCCACTGAGGTTAAATAGCTGAGTTTCCCTGCCAGTCAGTCAGAACTGAAGAAGTCCTTTGGATAAGGGACGAAACGTCTTCCAGTAGCTTCAACCAAGTCCAGTTGCCCTTCATTTTAACCTTCGTTGGATAACTATGACCTGGATGACTGAGAATCTTCATAGACAACACAGAAGAATCAACTCCCCGGGTTACCAACATTTGTTTCTGTCACGGAAACCAACGTTTATACCAATGGACAGGGAGAACAAATGGTGAAATGAAACAATGAATGAAGCCATCAAAGTAGAGAGACTATCTCTCAACAGGGGAGGATGTCTGCAACTACAGGTGCTCTGATCAGGATTTTTGGGGCCAATCACAGATCGCTAGAAGCAGTACTGACCGATACCGATCAGCAGGTCTATTTGAAGCCTTCTATATATCATGTAGCATTATATATTTATTTAACTTTTATTAAAAACCCTGCATCATATCTCCTGAACCACACATGATAACACAGAAAAGGTGATGTCTACCCCCATGTTTTGATGGTCAAGGATTGCAAAGATAACATATTCAAGATCATAAACTTTTCAGGTGAAAAGTAAATGGTGAAGTTAGGTTTACACAGTCTGATAAGATGTGGAGTGAAACTTGAGCATATTTCATGTAAACTTTAATTTTCTATCACTCTCTGAAGCCATAATGGTCTCTTATCTTAGTGTCCAAAAGGGGCATTTATTTCCATTGCAACCATATGACAGTTGAACTGCCACTCTGTGGTTACATTGGTGGGGTGGTGAAGGCGTAATGGATAAGATGCACGCCTTTGGTGTGAGATACCCGGGTTCATTTACCCACTGTGACCCATCCACCATTGTGTCCCTGAGCAAGACACTTAACCCCTCGTTGCTCCAGAGGCGTGCGACCTCTGACATATGCAGCAATTGTAGGTCGCTTTGGATAAAAGGATCTACTGAATGAGTAAATGTAATGTACCAGCGCTGCACTCTGCTTGAAACAATCAAACCATTGAAAGCTTTCCAGAATTTCTGTTCACTAGAATCAGTTAATGTATTGAATGTAATAAAATAGTATATTATTTTTCATTCATATTCAAACTGTGGCAGGCATACATCAGTGAAATATTTATGCCCTGGCAGAGTGTTGCATGAATCCAATTAGGACGAGTCGCTGGAACCCTTTGTCTTCCATAATAGACAGCGGTTGGTGATCAAGGCATATGAATAACATCTGCACGCATAATGTGTGAGAGAAAAGGAGAAAGCGCTCTGTTTCTTATTCCCATTCGGTAGGCTAAACTAAAAAAAAAAAACACGGTAATAACCAAAAAAATCTTTACCTTTGTCACGGCCAGACTAGTAGACCCAAGAGCTAGCTATCTTTGAAAACTGCTCATATTACTTTACGTGACTAACCTTCTGGGGGTCTACTTCTACATCTTTGCACATGTTCCAATCGCATATTATGTGTATATTTTCTATTCTTTTATTGTTTCTTTTACTCTTTGTATTACATTCCCCTTTGCTGCGGTGCCAATTTGAACTTCCCAGATGGGGATCAATAAAGAAACATCTTAATCCCTTCCAGTCAGTTTAACTGACGAAGCCTCTTGGGTGAGAGGCAAAACGTCCTCGAGTATCTTCAAACAAGTCCATTTACCCTTGATTTATTTATTTAACCTTTATTTAACCAGGGGAAAAGACCCATTGAGATAATATCTCTTTTTCAAGGCCGCCCTGGCAAACAAAACAACAGTACAAAATACTATTATAAATTAAAACAAGTTGTGAGGTGGATGGATTATCTCAGCAAAGAAGAAGTGCTCACTAACACAGATTTTGACAGATTTGTCAACAATATTTGAGAGAAATAGACCTTTTGTGTACAAAGAGAGTTTTAGATCTTTGAGTTCAGCTCATGATGAATGGGGGCAAATGTGTGCATTTATAATTTTGTTTATTGTATGAGAGGAGGACATTTTGTTAGAAGAGGATAGACTTTAAAGTACCCAATTGATGAAAATTACTGTTGTTAGTTAACGTACATGAATAATACACTGCATGTATTTGGTAAAATTTCGCAGTAAAAAGATATTGCGGTGCATCACATTTTTTTTTTATATATCACGCAGCCCTACTGAAGGACAGATGTAGTTTTCAGCACCATCAAAAACAACCTCCATCACCACGTTTCAGACAGAACAGGTTGATAAAAGGAGTTTTTTAGGAGGTGGATGCGTTCAGGAACAGGTTTTCCTCCCCCTGGTGGCTCTTCATGTGTGTTTTCAGACAGTGGCTCTGAGTGAAAGCTTTGTCGCAGACGCTGCACTGGTAAGGTTTCTCTCCGTTGTGGGTTCTCATGTGGACCGTCAGGTGTTCTTGGCGAGAGCTCGCTTTCCCACAAACCCCACAGACAAACCGCTTGATGCCCAGGTGGGTCCTCACATGGTTGTTCAGGTAAGTCTTGTGTTTAAAGCAGCGGCCGCACTCTGAGCAGCTGTACGGCGCCTTGTCGGTGTGCAAACGCATGTGCGCCTTCAGGTCGCCGTTGGATACGAAGCCTTTGCTACATATGCTGCAGATGAACGGCCTCTCGTTGCTGTGCGTTAGCATGTGAGTCGTCAAGCTGCAGTTTGAAAGGAACGTCTTGCAGCAGATGTGGCAGAGGTACGGCCGGTCTCTGGAGGTGTGGTTCTTCTCGTGTGCCTTCAACGTTCCGGGAAGTTTGAAATGCTTCCCACAAACCTCACAGCCGTAACGTCTCTCCCCCGAGTGAGTCGTCTTGTGGCGAGTTAAAGATTGCCGGTCCGCCAAAGATTTACCACAAACATTGCAGTGGTACTTGGTGGTACTACCTGTGTGTACCTTGCTGTGAGTTTTGAGCTGCGTCTTTAGACCAAATGCCTTCAGGCAAATATCACACTTGTGTGGTTTATCAGCCACATGGACCCAACGGTGAGCACTCAAAGCAGACCATTGACCAAAGGTTTTGTGGCAAACGTCACATTTAAACGGTCTGTCTCCTGTGTGTAGAGTGGTGTGGGAGTTGAGGCTACTGATGGTGAGGAAAGATTTCCCACAATATGAACAGTCGTGAGTTTTTTGATACTTTCTAAGATGTCCCTTTAACTCTTCTACAGATTCAAACTGCTCTCCACACACTCCACAAACAAGCTGTGGATCCTCCACGTGACTCAGGGCGTGTTTGATCAAACTGCCCAAGTTCTGGTACAAAAGTCCACAGACTTTACAGGGCGTTTTACTGCTCCCAATCAACTGCCCCTTAATACCAGACGTTTTTGCCTCTTGCTTCTTCCTCTTATTTGGCGACTGCAGCTCAGGATCTGGTTTCCAGTCGTCGTCTCCGTTGAACGCCTCATCTCCATCTTTGTCATCGTCATCACTGGAGTCCACTTGGCTCTCAGCAGCATCTTCATCATCAGCTTCCTCTGTTTCCATGTCCTGTTGTTGTGAAGTTGAGCTGCTGGACTGAACATCCACTTTGTCACCTTCCACATGCTGAACAGGGCAGCTGTGGGAAAAAATTTAAACATTACTTTGTACATACACAGGTAATTGTAGTGTCCTGGAGTCCTCACATTAATCCGGATCAAATTTGAACATAAAATACTAATATTACATAATAGGAAATATTAAAAGGTTTGCTGTGGAGATTTTGACCTCCTATGGGACTAAGCCATTTTGTTTCTCGTGCAAGAAGGGAAGAAAACGAGTGCCAGCTCCATGTACACGTGGATGAAAACAATGCTGGATTTAAAATGTTTAAAATAAAATGGTCTTGAGGAAGAAAATGTATTCAACATGTTTTTTTAAGACAACAAGGATAGTTAAGAGTAGACATTATGAAGAGTGGAACATTTCATTATTGAAGCATTTATGTGTTTATTACTTTTATGTTGCAGCTAGTAAAGGAGAGCGGCTTATACCAATATATCATGTTATATTTGTTAATAGATAGGATTATTAATCTGAAGTAACTAAAACTGAGAAACAAATGTATTGAGTAGGGCTGACCACAGATAGTTGAAGATTCGATGCTTTGATGGGAAGAGCCTGATTTGAGTTTAGTGGCGTTCATACGCCAGGATCATACCATTTTGACTATATGGGGGTGCTCAACCCCCAAACCGCTCTGCCCGCCAACAATTATATCTGGCCCGCAGCCAGATTATGGTGCTTTGATAGCATCAAAAAATATAAATAAATAAATACTTTGATGGCTGTGCTGAAATAGATCTCAGTCATGACAGCAACAGTTACTCACATAATCACTTTCTCTTTAGTGGTTTTGCCTATAAAATAAAAGTGCGAGAAGGCTTGTTTAATGCAATCTTGTATTTGAAGTTCAACCGAGCTTTTACTTTGAAAAACTCTGAACAACATTAAAAATGTCTGTAGCCTGCTTGACACACCTCTGAAAGAGCCTTCAGAAAACGTGATTCCCCTAATTGTCCTCTGCCTGGAGATACTGGGGAAATGCAAAAGCATCTGTAGGTGATGGATGCGGATCAAACACCAAAACAAAAACGTTGAGAAACATTCGCTGCAGAATTCATTTGTTGCAGAGAAAAAAAAACACTGCCCCCATTATATCTTCTCATCCACCATCTAATGGTTGAAAATATTGCTCTGCTTCAAAACTTATTTGCTGACCCCTGCAGTATATTATAACTACTACTTCTTCTTCTAACATATGTACTCAACATAGTGATGAGTGTCTGCACTGCCTGAATTCTACCAGAAGTAGAACAAGAAGATCGTAGTGACAAAATGCGCAACGTGGCGACATCCACAGCAGGGAGTGCCCGCGGTTATGTACATAAAAATGTCTCATTCTAAGGTAATAAAAACATAATGGTTTATTATATAAGGTCTTTACACATCACTGAAAACATAGTTATGCCACAAAGTGCATGTTTTGTCTGCCGCAAGCATTAATTACCCTCAGTTTAGCTGCATATGTACAGTGTAAGTTACAGTGTGTAATGAACACAGACTGTAGCTCTGCAGCTTTTCAAGATTAAAGCGGAGTTACCGCACAAAAACATATGCAAGACTTGCCAATTCTGATTCGACTACATAAATCCTTAGTCGGGGACAGCCCTAGTATTGAGTGAAGTACAATATGTAGTGGATTTGTATTGGCAGGAAGAGATAATCCATCCACCTGCCAGACAGACAGCATGGATATTGCACAGGTGTCACTTAGGCTGGCCACAATAAAAGGCCACTTGAAAATGTGCAGTTTCACTGTAACGCATCTCCTTCGCATAGATCAGGTTGTTGATTGTTGCCTGTGGAATATTGGTTCACTCCTCTTCAATGGCTGTGCGAAGGTCGAAACCCAATGAGGATGACGAGCATCAAGATGAGACGCATGCTGTGATGCATGCCTGTGAGGAATAGGCCATTTGTGTACAAAGAGAAATTCTTAGATCTTTTGAGTTCAGCTCATGATGAATGGGGGCAAAAACAAAAGTGTTGCATTTATAATTTTGTTGAGTGTAGTAACTTTCCACCACAGAATGAATTTGAAGGCAAACTATATAACAAATATGAAAGAGAAAGCGACAGCCTATTCAGAGAAAAGTTACTTTGCATCAGACCTGAGCTCTGGACAACTTGTTGTAAGGAGTAAACACAACCGGGTACTACTGAGCACACAGAGGAACAGCAGAGACGTTTCTAACTTTTGATCTTTCTTTTCAAACACTGAAAATAAGTCATTTGCTGGAATCCGTTGCAACAGAAATCAATGCATGTTCTTTTTAAATTACCTTGAGCTTCATTGCTTTTTATCACCACGGCAGCAGTGGACGAGGAATCAGTGGTGGCGTTGTTTCCCTGTAAAAGGCGGAGCTCCTTCTCCTCCTCCTCCTCTTCCTCCTTCTCATCTCCTGTCTGCAAGAAGTTGTTCCCAAATTATATTTAAAGAAAATTCAACTGATGCTCAATTTAGAGGGTAATGTTTTTTTTGACTATCTCAGATGAAACCTCAGGTAGTATCAGGGCCTTACAGAGGAGGGACCGGTACGTGGTAAAAGAAGACGGGTAATATTACAGTATCTACCTTCAGTCGGATGTAGAGGGCTGAGTATCCTGCTCCGGTGAGCCTGATGCTCCTGAAGATCTCCTCTGGTGTCAGCGTCTTTACTTCGAGCGGCTGGAGCCTCCTGCTCCTGTCGGACTTGAAGACGTCAAAAGGTTTGTTGTCTCCTGCCAGCTGAGGGAAGGTGGACCTCAGCAGGTCCAGGAAGTCCGCCTCCTGTAGGCCACGAGGACACTGCAGCTCCTGAACCGGATATTTCTGAAATAGACAAAGATTCACCAGGAGTTCCACATTACCTCTTAACAACCTCAGTCCAACACACATTTAGTCCATCCAGAACTACATCTTTAATATTCACCATTTTTTGAAAGACAATCTGACTGGGAATCCTCCAGTATGCAGACTCTGAGCAGGTGGTGATCCGGTTCTTGTCGGAGGCTTGATCTGCCAGGCTTCCTCCTCACAGACGAATGTCTGGGAGATGATAACCTGTGAGATGGTCAACATAAGACACGATATCTGATTATCCTGCAGTCATGAACATTATTAGTAAGATAAATATTCCCCGTTATGTCCTGGCAACTCGCACACATCATCTCCTTGTCGCCCTCACGGGGACATGGAATATCCTGGTAACCTAACAAGTAACGTAACTAGTTACTTTTATCACCTAGTAATAAATAAAGTTATACTATTACTTTTGTAAGGAGTAATAAGTAACTTATTACAATTTCTGAGTAACTTGCCTCACACTGGTTTTCAAACCCCACGTAAAGTCTGTTGTTCAGTCATGTTTTTATCACTTAAGAAATATGACCAAGGTCAATATAACCCGCTGCAAGTTTCTTTTAAGATAAATTTTATAATGATTTTATTTACTTTTAAGGCCAGACATGGATTAGCACCTTCATGTCTCTGAGCTTTTATCTCCCTATGAGCCAGGACGCAGACTGAAAACCAAAGGAGACCGGGCCTTTGACTCTGGAACAGTCTACCAGAGGAGATCAGGCTACCAAAGAGTCTCTTCCTGGTTTCATCTCACCTCTTAAGAGTAATTTATACTAAAAAACTTCTAATGTGTGATGCCTAATTATTTCCTCCATTATTTCTATGTTGACTGGTTTGTTTGTTTACTTTATTCAAACCACAATGTGATGCATAATTGATTTTTGGCTTTAATTGTAAATGGGTTTGTTTTATGTTTGATTTGTTGCACACTACTGTGTGTGCTACCATATTTTGTTTTTTTTATTTGTCTATGTTTTATAGTGATTGCTATATAAGCACTTGCTACCTGAATGCAAAAGAATGAAGAAAAGAATGAATTTGAACTTTGAACTAAAATAACTCAAACCAATGAATTGATAATCACAATAGTTGCTGTTTAATTTAATAGTTGACAACTAATTGATAAATTCTTCAAGATGTAAGTTAGGCTAACTAGCATGCTAAGAGCAAGTTAAGCTAACAAGCTTCATTTGAACTAAATGGTTCCACGTAAAAACAGACCAGGAGCACACAAAAGGATGCCCACAGGGGTGTCCACATACTAAGCTGTGATTTGTGACCTTGATTCTATTTGATAATCGGGGTCCTTCAGATCTTCTTTTCTTAAGCTGGTTGCTGGTTGCACTGACAGCTGCGGCTCTTCATTGCCACCATCACCCTCTTCATCATCATCATACCACAGTTGGCCAATGCTCCCACTGTCCTCCTCACCTGGACACAGATAGAGTCAAAGGTCAGAACTTGGATTTATTTGCGTAAACATTCACAATGCAGGGAGGAAAAAATATGTGAACCCCTGGGCAAATGAGTTCTTCAAAAGTTAATTGGAGTCACAAGTCAGTCAACCTGGAGTCCAATCAAAGAGACAAATTTGGAGGTGTTGGTTAGAGCTAACCTAAACCCACCCCAATTTTAATTTTGCTATTCCCACGAAGCATCGCATGATGTGAACCATGCCTCAAACCAAAGAGCTCTCAGAAGACCTAAGATTAAGAATTGTTGACTTGAATGAAGCTGGAAAGGGTAACAAAGGGGTTTCTAAAATCCTATATGTTCATCAGTCCACAGTAAGACAAACGGTCTATAAAAAAGAGAAAGTTCAGCACTGTTACTACTCTCCCTAGGAGTGGCCGTCCTGAAAAGCTGTGAATGAGCACAGCGCAGAATGGCCAATGAGGTTAAGAAGGATCCTAGAGTTTCAGCTGAAGACTTACAGAAATCTCTGGAACATGCTAACTTCTCTGTTGATGACTCTATTACACGTCAAAGACTGAACAAGAATGAAGTTCATGGAAGGACACCACGGAGGAAGCCAAAAAAATACATTGCTGCACGACTGTTTGCAAAAGAGCGCCTGGATGTTCTACAGAGCTACTGGAAA